CCCCCCATCTCCCCACCTGCAGACCCACGGACCAAACGCCCGGGCTCTTCGGTCGAAGGCTCGGACCAGGGGCGACGGACTGCGCGGTCGGTCTAGACATCTTCCAGCGCAGGAGCAGCAAGGCGATCAAGACCTGAGCAAGTTGGTCAAACATGGTCAAACAGTTTGAAGGTCGATCGGCTTGGGTGGTTGGCCTACCGAGATGAATCTCTTTCTGCTTCGTACAATCTGTTCGTCTCCTCTCAGAGTTGAAGTCGGGTTGTGGTGATCTCAGCGTCTGGTCAAGGTGGTTTTGGATCCTGCATGCTGTCTTCGCAAGTGAGGTTGTTGCTGTCCATTTTCAGTTTCCAAGGGTGGATGAAATGCCGAAAGCCGAAAGTGACATTTCTCAGAAGACCCTGTGACCCGAACAGAGTCCCGGTGCCCAACAGAGTCCCAGTCCACACGAAGGCCCCGTGAGACTAAGACCGGAGTCCCAACGCGTGAGGGTGGACTTTTTCCCAGTCAATGGGTGGTTCCTTCTTCGTCGTTCCGTCAGCCGTCGTTCCGGCCGTCGTTTCAAGTCCTGCGCCGCCCGGCCCAGCAAAGCTCCGGCCATGCACTCGGCAAAAGCAAGGCCAAAAGGAGCGGAACAGCCAGGAACCTGGAATGCCAAGGCTCTTTCCACGATCACGATCATGCGGCATGACTTTGGAAATGCCAACCCAGACTTGTTATATAAATATGTCACTTGCCAGAATGGCTGTGTAGAAGGAACCAGTCGACTCAATCGTTGGAGGGGTTGGCTAAAAAGGAAGGCTTAGAATACGTACTCGTGTCCTTCTTGCGTGGACCGCAAGGACTTGGGTCCCTGGCATGTCATGGCCGAGAGCGCCCATGGCAAATCAGCTATGTACATCCGGGCATCGACGGGCCATGGCGGTCCAAAAATGGCGCGTCACTTATGTCACTTAAGATCGTTTTGGCCAAAGAAGGTTCGTCGAGTTTTTGATGGATGAGGAGAACACTGATTTGGAATCACACTTTTGTGTGGATCTGCAGCTTGTCTGGCAAACATTCATTCTCGGGGTGCACCAGCACATGGTGTCCGTGGGAAGTATAGCCTCCACCATCATAGATACATACATAGTAATTACATAGTATACTCCCCTGAAACATTTCCTGATTCCTCTTCCCAGTGTGCCTGGTACCCCGTTGGGCAAGTCTGAGCTCTGATTTCGTCATGCCTTGTCGGTGCAACACGGCTGGGATGATCAATGCATAGCGATGGAGCGCAACCAGCTCCCTCAAACTTTTTCAACGTCACACCAGCAGTTCCATTTGAACTGCACCTGTTGAGATTCCTCTCTTGGGGCACCAGTCGTACCAACGTCGTTCCAGGCGTGCTGGCCCTTCACACACTCAAAATAATGCGTGCAGAAATTGAATGCCACATGCCACACGCCCACCTAGGTATGAAAGCCTAAGAAGTCAGGTAAAAGGT